AGGGCAAAGAGAAAGAAGAGAAGAAGGGCAAAGAGAAAGAAGAGAAGGGCAAAGAGAAAGACGAGAAGGGCAAAGAGAAAGAAGAGAAGGGCAAAGGGAAAGAAGAGAAGGGCAAAGATAAGAAGACAGATAAGGAATCCACAAAAGGCAAGAAGGAGAAGAAAGAGAAAAGCGCCAAGGAGACGGAAGATCAGAAGAACAAGAAAGATGATGGCAAAGGAGGGAAGGACAAAAAAGAGAAGGATGAGAAGAAGGGTGACAGTGATGAGAAAGTGGAGAAAGAAGAAAAGGGCAAAAAGGATAAGAATAAGAAGAAGAAGAAGGACAAGAAGAAGCTTGAAGATGCAGAGGGCAGAGTCAATTCATCCACGCACCATACACAATGGCAAGCCTACAAGCGGTGGATCAGGAACAAGAAACGCTTTCCCAGCTCCCTGGCAGCCAAAATCAACACCAACGAAGGCCGCAGCGAGCTTTTCAAGACTTGGGTTGAATGTGGGGGGAAAGAGAAAGAGGTCATCCTAAGGTGCACCCAAGAACTCGAAGAAGCAAACCGTTCAGAAGTGCGGTATGGCTTTCGATCGGAAAAGTGGCTTGCTGACAACCATGGCCAAAAAAAGGCAGACAAAATCATTGAAAGGAAGAAAAGCCAAGGCCTGTTCATCAGTGACCCAGAGTGCGAAGACGAACAGCTCTTTTTCGTGCTCGTCAACATCGACATCAGCAACATCAATGAACTTCGCAGGATTACCCAAATGGAGGTGAAGGGCGGGGTGTCATCGGAGATGCTCAAAGCCTTTACGGACCAAGGGGGCGTTTTGGATCCCAAAGCTTTGAAGGTTGGGGACTTTGACAAGTCTGGAGGGATGGCAAAGGCGCTGGAGTTCGCAGATGTGGGCAACAAGAAAGGTGGCAAGAAGAATAAAGGCAAGATCACGCAGGGAGAGAACAAAGAAGAAAAGAAAGAAGAGGGTCAGGCGTGGCATCATCAGTCCTTGCTACACATTCACACCTGGGTCTAGTCTATTGTGGTATTTTTGAAACACACCTAAAGGGACAACCACACAGACACCATGCACCAATCAGACCCAACGCGCATCACCAGGTGGTTCCACGAACGCCGCTTGAGCTGGCAACGAACCTGATCACCAAAGTCCTGAAGGATGCCAACACATGCCGGCTTCTTGCTGAGAATTGTTGTGCACCTGTTTGTTTGTTTTGTGTGTTTTCTGTTTTCACCAGTTCTCCACACTACAAGTGTTGATGTGTTTGTACCCCCAGGGACAATGCATGTCGCCTACAGCCGCTGGAGATGAGTGACCAACTCATTAAACAACTTCGAGCGGTCGAGCATGGACTTCAAGAGCAAGCAGGCAAACTCCAGGAGCTGGTCAACAAGGGGAAGAACAAGGGTAAGCACTACAAGGAGATCACGGCAGAGGTGCGAGTTCTTTAAACACATATGTCCAAACATGGATGAGTTAAAACAATATTATTACAATATAAAACATGGATGAGTTAAAAATGTTATTACATGTTGTCTCGGATTGCTTTGGAACCTCTCTCTGCCTCAAGGTGGAAACATTGACCCAGCTCGCAAAAGAGAAGGTGGAACTTGCGAAGGCTTTGCTTCGCGCAAGTGTCAAAGCAAAGACACCGGCGCCTAAGGCAAAAGCTGAAGCAAAAGCGGAACCCAAAAGAAAGGGTGGTGAAGAGTCCTCAGGTGCAAGCGCAAAGAAGAAGAAAGAGTGAACCTGTGTCTCACTTATCGGGCTGCAGTGCGTTTCGCGCTGCAGGGTTTGCGTTTCAATATGGGGCTTAGATCTCAGGTGACAACACCTGGAAGGGGTTCAACCGATCGCCGAAGGGAAGCTCAAAAGAAATCACCAGAAGGGGTGAGAACTATTTGTATGTTTGAACCGCTAACATGTCAAGTGTCCACACGCATATCTTGCAGCGCAAGATGTGCTTCACTGGGATCAAGTTATGCCCATGCGCGTTGCAGGCCCCATGCATCATCCCGATCGAGATCCCGGAGCTGTCCTCGGCCTTCCTTCAGAAGAGCTTCGAAGACATGCAGCGCCTCGGGCGATGCTTCGATCAAGTTTCACTTTGTCCCCCTGCAAAATGGTTCAATTTAGGGAACCGGTTTCCTTTAGGGATCTAGTCCTCAGTCTCCCAGGTCTATCTGAAGTTCGTGATGCTTCATTCTCTGCACGGAGGTTGCTCAAGAAGCTTTGCTTAGGGGTGCGGGGGTTACCAAAACATTCCAAACCAGAAGTTTGTTTTCAAATGCTTGTCAAGGAGTCAGGATTGTGTTTTCCAATTTCTCAGTGGTCCAAAACATTTTTAAATCATCTCTGACTCTGACCCCTGCAGAAAACTTCAGCAGCCGAAGCATGTCGGGATGCCAACGGCCTTTTGGAGGATGGCTCTACATGCAAGCTGGCCAATTTGCTCGCTTCGTGGTCTGGTGATGGGCACGAAGAGCGCTCCTTCGAAAGGCCCTTGGGCAAAAGGAATTAGGTTGCTTCAGGGATGTGCTTGGTACATTACTTACTTTTCTTTACTTTTGGAACTTTTGAACCCCTGGAACCTTGCAGGTGGTATGACACCATTTGCCGCCTTGGATTGGGCTCCATCACCGTTCCACAGCTTCTCGAACAGACAGGGGGGACTTTCTTGGTTCAAGACACAGGCCTGGTGGTTCTATGGCCCTGGGATTTGATTCAGTGGTGGGATTCCGCTGGTGGACTTGAGGGCTGGATAGCCAATGAGCCTTCCAAAGCTTCAATGAAGTGCCAAGCTCCTTTGCTAGTTCTTCAATGTTTTCTACTTTGGAGGCAACCTCTTGAGGCTCTTCAAATGTGTCTGTGTTGGCATCTCCATTGAGCTGTAAACTGAATCCCAAAGCTGTCCCAAACAATTGGATTAACCTTGAATCCTCAAAGCCAAGGAATATTGGTACCACGTTCGGAATGAGCCCTTCGTCCATGAGCTGAATCTGAGCGAGCCCGAGAAAACAATTCCTCTGGTGTGGCACGTGGATGGGGTCAGAATATTTAAGAATCAGAAAGCATGGGTCTACAGTTTTTCGAGCATGATCAAAAAAGAGCACGAGGCCTTAGCAAACAAAATGGTATTTCTTTTGATCAATGACAACAAGGTGGTCAAATACAGAACACATGACAAGATAGCTGATGCCATTGGGTATGCATGCAGAACATTACAAAGCGGAAGGTTTCCTCTTGTGGACATGGAAGGGAATATGTTTCCACCGTCTTCAAAAGAGGCTTCTTTAGCAGGAACATGGTTTTCAAAGAGCCAGTGGAGGGCGGCTTTCTGCGCTTTCAAATCAGACCTGGAAGCTCGAGTCCACATCCACAAGTACACCAGGAATTACATGGCGAATCAAATCTGTGAGCATTGCTTGGCAGGAGTTGAAATTCCCTACACGGACTTCCAACCTAACGCAAATTGGACTCTTGTCAGACTTTCTCACAATGAATTGATGGATGCGATGCCCATGGATCGCAGGAGTAATTGGCAGGTGGTGCCTGGTTGGAACAAAGACAGGAACCTAGAAGACTTGTTACACACACTTCATTTGGGCGTTGCTGGCTGTGCCATAGCAGGTTTTGTCATTGATTCTTTGCAATGCAAGCACCCTGGCCTGACGCTAGATCGTTTAGAGAACCTTCTCCAAGGAGTGTATGATCACTACAGGGCATGGTGTAGAAAAATGAAGACACCTGGTTCTTCTTTACGGTTTAGTTTGCGAAGGTTTGGCAGGGAGAAGTGGACTAGCTGGCCAGAGTTGTCAAGTCAATACAAGGCCTCAACGGTCAAAAACATGATCTACTGGGTCCACCAATACCTGCTGGATGTTGGAGATTGTTTGGGGAGTGACAACAGGTGCAATGCATCATACTCGCTGGCAATGTTTCAGAACATGCTTGACACACATGGTGGATGGTTTACAAGCGAGCAAGCTGCGCAAACCTCTGAATTTGGGCATCAGTTTCTGATGTTCTACCAAGCGTGCAGTTGGAAGAGCCGTCATGAAGGCCGTTGCACCTTTAAAGTTGTCCCCAAGTTCCACTACTTCCAGCACTTATGCGAGTACATTGCACGCACGCATCGAAACTGCAGGCCATGATTAAGTCCAAAGTTTTCAATTTCCCACTAATACCCCAAAGCAACTTCACATATGTGTTCTCTTCATTTTATGTTGTCTCATCAATGGACCCCTGGAGGTTTGAACATTGTTACCCCGACGAGTCGCTAATGGGCGAGCTGGGTCGAATAGCGTCTAAGACGCATGCTCTAACGATGGAACGTGTCACCATGCACCGCTACAGGTGCTTGTTGGATTTCTTCTTAGGCTCGGACATGAAAGTCTCGGAGAGCAGGCTACGGCTGTCGGAGCGGTGAAAAGCTGTGGGCCAAGTGGCCATGGTGGAATCCAGATCAGCCACCTGTCTCCATCAAATCCCTGCAAAGGGCACATGTTAGAAAGAATCATCTCATTAAGAACATGTTGTGTGAAGTTTCTCTCTACAACTCCCCAATTGGGGTATAGAGGATTCGATGGACACAGGACACATGTGGCTTGCAAGACACACGCAATCCCCAACCACAGATCCTCTCGAACCTGTTTTTAAAAACAAAGGGGCACCTATCTTTTGGTCACCAAAAAAATTCAATCACCTAGATCAGAGAAGGATTAGATCAGAGCAGGGTCGCATGAAATTATATGTTTTTTTTTGCATTTTCACATTTTTTAATCAATTTTCCACATTTTTAATCATATTTTCACATTTTAAAACATTTTTCACATTTTCACTTTTTTTTCATTTTATTTTTGTTTTAAGAAAAGTTACAATTTTTGGGGAAAACACCTCAAACACAACATGGTCCATCAAATTGTGATTCTTGGGGAGAAGTTATCCTAACAACTGAACACATTTGACGATGATGTCATCCACCACGTGCAGGACGAACCTTAGACGACAGAAGTTACTAAGTGGAAGTTGCTTGACATACGTCACTGAGCGGGAAATTAAGGCATCTGGTAGACGCTGGTGGTGCTGGACACCATCCTCTTGCAGCTCTGCCACTGCTGTTACAGCAGACGACTCCTGCTGCAAAGGAATGCCTGCAGCCTTGGGCGGGACAGTAGACGACGACACCTGCTCATGCTCATCTTCTGACGTGTAGGTGTCACCTTCCCCCACCTGAGACTGAGGTGGGTGGAACACCTGCTGAGGCATCATCCCACCATACATCTGGGGCATCATAGGACCACCAAACATCTGCGGCATCATACCTCCAGCCAACATAGGCGGCGCACTGACATGGCAACAGCACGGTCTAGTCTGACACAAGACGTTTGAGAAGACAGCTGACTGCAGCAGTCATATCACGCTCCAGTTCGCATGTACAATTAAATTTTTGCATGTTTTTGCATATTTTTGCATATTTTCTCATGTCTCGAGATTTTTCGAGATTTTTTGAGATTTTTTGAGTTGTTAAAATTATTTTCCCTTTAATCCCCTCGAGATTTTTTGAGATGTTTCGAGATTTTTCGAGATTTTTTGAGATTTTTGAGTTGATTTCTGCTAGGATTTTCATTTTATTTCAAGATTTCTTTTTTTGTTGAGATTATAGCTTACAGCAGACTACAGCAGACAGTAGGTTCACAGCAAGGACACAAAACAATTAACTGTGAAATAAGGTCAAAAATGGTGACCTAAGTGGTGCACCATGGTTCAAAAACATGTACAAACATATCTGGTTTAACTTTCTCAAACCTTTAAACAAATAGGTTCACCAAGTGCTCACAAACTGTTCATCGTTGAGATTATGAGTTCATCCACGCAACCCCGTTTTAGTCACATGTTAATCCAATTTATGCCCAATGGGTTCTCACAAGTTCTTACGTGTCCAAACGTTGGCCATGTTATGTTTTTAATCATTTTTTATCATTTTTTAACATTTTTCTCATTTTTCTCATTTTTTCATTTAAAACATTTTTGCATTTTTTCTTATTTTTTCATTTAAAACATTTTTGCATTTTTTATCATTTTTTCATTTAAAACATTTTTTGCATTTTTGCTCATTTTTCTCATTTTTCATTTAAAACATTTTTGCATTTTTTCTCATTTTTTCATTTAAAACATTTTTGCATTTTTTATCATTTTTCATTTAAAACATTTTTTGCATTTTTGCATTTTAAATCTCTTATCGAGATTTTAAATCTTATTGGAAAGTATTCCATTCCAAGAACTCTCCGGTGCAGGGTATTGAATTTTTTGGGTGATTTGGTGTACTTTTCTACCAACACTATATATTTTCTGCTAACACTAGGCGCTAGCTGTTTTGGCTCAAGACCAGGCAGTGTTGCTGACCTATGTCTATAGGCAGTTTCTAATCAAAGCCATGGAAGGTTTTGATTGCAGTTCTTGAGCAACTTTCCCACCCATTAAGTTTCCAATCAAAACCATCCATGGTTTTGATTGGAGTTCTTGAGCAACTTTCCCACCCATTCAGTTTCAAATCAAACCATGGATGGTTTTGGCTGCAGTTCTTGAGCAAGTTTCCCACCCATCCCACCCATTCAGTTTCTAATCAACAGCATGGAAGGGTCATGGCTAGTTTTTTGGACAGCTGCTGTCGTCCAGCCCATGCGTGGAGTGCGTGAGGGCAAGTCACGCAGATCATGACATGTTTACGCTTTTATCTGTTCTCGC